TCCTGGGTCAACAAAACATTGTCCCTAATAAGTCGACCGGGGACATTCCACTCTGTTGAGGAGAAATAATATAAGGCAAGAATGAACTCAATAGAAATTGTAATTTTTTTTTAAACCAACCTAAAATTTAAGGATTTCAGGTTGGTTTAGACCGAACTCAAAACTCGACCCGACTTTTTGTGAAATGATCAAAAACCAACACAATTTGGGTCGTATCAATTTCATTGTCGGTTGGTTTGTCTATTTTGTTGGTATCGATTTATTTTTTTTATTAAAAAAAAATTGATCTAAAACTCAAGGCTTTTGGGTTGGCTTGGATCCAACTTAAAATGAGACTTGACTTCACATGAAATAGACCTAAATCGACCTAATTCGAGTAGGTTTTAGGTTGGTTGATTTCATGGTTATTATGCTACCCATACATTCCTTCAATTACGTACCACGATGCTCAAAATGTTTTTTAATTTTCAAATTGAAAAATAAGATTTAAAAATTTTTTTTATAAAAAATCAAGTCATAATTCAATTTTTTAATTTTAAATACAGATATTACAAAAATAAATTAATCTACATACCCACCCCACCTTCCCATTTCACTCGAAACCCTATTCATTTTCCTTTTCCTCATTATTCTATCCTTTCCATTCTTTGTCGTCGTTATTGTGAGCGTCACGCAACAACGCAACAAGCGTCATAGTAGGCGTTGTGAGCACTACGCATAGCGATGCTCAATTCGATGCTCGTGTGCGCAACACTTGCACCAGTTTTAGGGTAGTTTTTGAGATGGTTTTCCAATCTGCTACATAACAGGTGTTTTGGAGTGATTTTTATTGGTTATTGGTATTTTGCAAATGGTGGTTGTGGTGAGGTTTTGGAGTGATTTTTATTGGTTATCATTGGTCTATATAGATAAGTTATTTGAATTGTTAAATGTTATTGGTCACATCTTCATTTGTATAGGTTCCGAGACTAGTCATAATTCAGTTGTCAAGGTTTAATGTGCACTTGTTACATGCCACTCGTCTTTGTACAATTATTGGAGGTTACTAATTTATATTCACAGGTTATAGGCAAC